TTAAAGATGAAAAAGGCAACATAACAACAGACACTGCAATCATTAAGAAAATAATTAGAAATTACTACAAAGAACTGTACTCCCACAAATTTGAGGACCACCAAGAAATAGAAAAGTTCCTGGACTCCCACCACTTACCAAAACTCAGTCCGGAGGCAACTGCAGAATTAAATAAACCCATAACCGAGGTAGAGATTGAAACAGTCATCAAGGATCTCCCAACGAAAAAAAGCCCAGGCCCAGACGGCTTCACTACAGAATTCTACAAAACATTCCGAACAGAACTAACCCCAATCCTCTACAAGCTCTTCAAAACAATAGAGGAGGAAGCAACCCTCCCAAACTCATTCTATGAAGCCAACATCACCTTAATCCCAAAACCGGACAGAGAACCATCAGAGAAGGAAAACTACAGACCTATCTCTCTGATGAACATTGATGCTAAAATTCTCAACAAAATCCTAGCCAATAGAATTCAAAAAATCATCAGACAGATCATTCATCCGGATCAAGTAGGATTCATCCCTGGAATGCAGGGATGGTTCAACATTCGGAAATCCATAAATGTTATAAACCATATCCAAAAACTGCAAAACAAGAACCACATAATAGTTTCAATAGATGCAGAAAAAGCTTTCGACAAAATCCAACACCTCTTCATGCTAAAAACTCTAGCCAAAGTAGGCATAGATGGGAAAATCCACAACATAATTAAAGCAATTTATGAAAAACCCAACGCCAGTATCATACTGAATGGAGAAAAGCTAGAACCCTTCCCACTGAGATCTGGAACAAGACAAGGGTGCCCGCTATCACCACTGCTATTCAACATAGTCCTAGAGGTACTTGCAGAGGCCATAAGACAAGAAAAAGAAATCAAAGGCATACGTATAGGAAACGAAGAAGTCAAGCTTTCACTATATGCAGATGACATAATCCTATACATAGAAAAACCAGGAGAATCAATACAGAAACTGCTAGAACTTATACGAGAGTTTGGCAGAGTGGCGGGGTACAAAATTAACGAACGAAAATCAACAGCCATAGTGTACGCAAATAACACCAAGATGGAAGAAGATCTAACCAACAGGATACCATTCAAAATAGCAGAGAGAAGTATGAAGTATTTGGGAATAAATCTAACCAAAAGCGTAGGAGACCTATTCGAAGAAAACTACAAACTATTTAAAAAGGAAATTGAACAAGACCTCAAAAGATGGAATAACATCCCGTGCTCCTGGATAGGCAAAATCAATATCATTAAAATGTCTATACTACCACAAGCAATATACATTTTCAACGCAATTCCAGTCAAATTGCCCAAAACATTCTTCACGGAACTGGATACAATGATTCAAAAGTTCATCTGGAAACACAAAAAACCACGAATAGCTAGAACCATCCTGAAAAATAAGAGATTAGCAGGGGAATCACAATCCCGGACCTCTGGACATACTATAGAGCAGTGGTTATCAAAACAGCCTGGTACTGGCACAAAGACAGAAAAGAAGATCAATGGAATAGAATAGAAGCACCAAAAGGGAACCCACACAAATACAGCCAATTAATCTTTGACAAAAAGACCAATGATAGCTCAAGCAAGTGGGAAGGCCTCTTTAGTAAATGTTGTTGGGACAACTGGCTGATAGCCTGTAGAAACAAAAGGATAGACCCACATCTATCACCATACACTAAGATCCAATCTACATGGATAAAAGACCTAAACCTACATCCAGAAACCTTCAAACTCTTGCAAGAAAATGTAGGAAATACACTGCAAGACCTAGGAGTAGGTTCCGACTTTCTAAGAAGGACACCAAAAGCAATAGCAGTTGAGAACAGAATAAACAAATGGGACCTCATCAAACTAAGAAGCTTCTGTACAGCAAGGGAAACAATCAACAAAGTAAAAAAGCAACCCACAGAGTGGGAGAAGATCTTTGCACACGATATAGGCGATAGGGGGCTAATTTCCAGGATATACAAAGAACTTCAAAACAACCAAAAAACCAAAACAAACAAGCCACTCAAGAAATGGGCAAGGGAAATGGGCAAACATTTCACAAAGGAGCAAGTCCAAATGGCAAACAAACATATGAAAAAATGTTCCAGCTCCCTAGCAATAAGGGAAATCCAAATTAAAACATCGATGAGGTACCACCTAACACCAGTAAGATTGGCCCACATAAACAAGAACACCAACGACGCTTGCTGGCGAGGATGCGGGGAAAAGGGAACCCTACTCCACTGCTGGTGGAGCTGCAAATTGGTACAGCCTTTATGGAAATCAGTCTGGAGAACACTCAAACAACTCGGAATCTGCATGCCATATGACCCAGCAATAGCACTCCTAGGAATATATCCAAAACACCTGTTTTACGACAAACCAACATGCATCCCCATGTTCATTGCAGCACAATCAGTAATTGCAAAAACATGGAAGCAACCGAAATGCCCATCAATAGAAGATTGGATAAGAAAGCTTTGGTTCATCTACTCCATGGAATACTACTCAGCTGTTAAAAAAAACAAAATGCAGTTCTTTGTGGCTAAATGGGCACAACTGGAAACTATAATGCTAAGGGAAATGAGTGAATCCCAAAAGATTAGATACCACATGTTCGCCTTGATTTAACCTGTAATTTATTGTTTGGTTGTTTGTTATTTTTTGAACGTGTCATTGATGCTGTCTCAACCCAGATGTTTCGAAGAATGGAACTTGCATTATTTTTAACATATTGTTTACCCAATACTATGTCAATTAATTCCATAATGTTGGATATTGATACTGAGGCCTTGTTGCGGCTTTTAACCGACCGGATCTTTACTCTGTTAGACCTATCTTCAGACCATAGAAGGTCTCCCCAGGAGGCCACTGAACTTATCTGGACAATAAGACGCTGAACTTTATGCTAGGCATGTGTTTGCAAGCAATGAATCTCAACTGAACTTGAACTATGGTTATGCAGCAAGGTGGAGGAATCCACCATGGGGGGAGGGGTATGGGGAGGGGTGGGGGGAATCCCCAGCGCCTATAAAACTGTACTACACAATACAGTGTAAGCAACAATAAAAAAAAAAAAAAAAAAAAAATCAAAATCAGCCCAACAAGATCTATTGGAAATTGTGTTTTTCACTAATATGAGTAAATACACACTGAAAAATCATCATGACACCCAATTCTGGAACTATACGTCTCAATAAATATTCTAAATGCAGATATTGCTATAACTTTATGACAAATGTAGCAAGCAAGAGATAATCAGCATGCACGGTGGACTCGGCATCTTCTTAACATCTGAGACTTAAATGGAGCCTCTGCTCATTTTTTCTCTCAAGAGTATCATTTCTCAGAATAATAATGATTTCCTTTCTTCCACATATAAACATTCTTTCCCAACAGACACTTAAAGGTTCAACTGAAATCATTTGCAATCTTCTTCCATCTTCATCCCCTTAAACTCTTTCTTTACTGAAACCATAATCACAAAGAGCTTCCCCTGACTGCTGGAACAAAGATGAAGCATTTTTGTAATGACATAAAACAAATCCCTTCTTGGCTGGCCCATGCTCCCTCTCAGACCCTCTTCTTCCAATCTCAGCCTCAGAGTTGGTGCTTCAGCAAGTTAAAAAAAAAAAAACAAACAACAAAAAAAAATGTGCTACTCCCCTCCCTGTTACGATTCCAGGCTTTTCCTACTGGTCTCACCTCTGTTTGGAATTCCTTTCTTTCCCTACTTCTAATTCCTTTACAAAACAATTTCTATTTTTCTATGATGACCTAACTTGTTTGAACTGTCCCTGTACCTATTAACTGGGCTAACATTCCCTCTCTCTAGTCGTCCCAACACGTTCTGTGAACACATAACTCAAATAGGTTTTTAGGCAGCACTGCTACATTTCAAGTTAGTGAATCCATTTCTATACTAACCTATAAGCTGATTCCATATTGTACCACCTATCATTTTCTAGATTTATACATCTGAATTTAACTTCTTAATTTACAATTATCAATACTATTTCTGACAACAAAATACTTAAGCCATTGTATAAAGAATATGTAATCCCACTGTGGTGAAAAATACTACAAACTGATTGGTTTAAAAATAATCAGCAGCTTGAGAAAATGGAATTTAATCTTTTAAAATTTTAATAGCTGGCCTGAAGGACATGTTTATTCACAGATGTATCCCAGAAGCATTTGTTTTTGATTTTTTATGTGCTATCTCACTACCTGACACCAGCACCACACTTGGCCTAATGCAAGATTGTGACTGTTCAAGCAACAGTCACACAGACGAGTCCAAAGGCATGGCTGAAATGGTGCTTTTTCACAAAAGAACGTCATCCAGTTTAATCAAAACAAAGGCAGATCTCTATTGTTTTATAGCTCAAAGTCCTCATTATTATATACTTTAGGCATAATGAGTATACACATAGGACATTCTTAAATGCATTAATATAGAACAGTCTAGGCATTATATTAATGAAAAAGAGATGTATTTAGGGAAAATAAATTAAATGGATAGGTCGCTACAGACATTGACTATTCAGGGATAATTTTGTGTCCTACACACTTGCACCCCTCCGCTAACAACGACTTAGCACTGATTACCTGAGGTGTCCAGATGACTGCTACAAACCACCCACATCACCATGATAAGAATACTTTAAGGTCAATTTTTAAACAAGGCAAATTGACATGACACCTAAGTAACAATGCAAAATTCCACTTGTCTATTAATAAGAGAATTACTTATATTCTCTTGTTTTGCATTCTGCTAAAAGGGAGCAATCTAAAACCACTTTAGAAGAGCTTCCTGGAGATTGTTCGGCCTTTCAGAGCATTTCAATTACTAAAGAGGAGTTATCTCAGAATCAGACTTAGGGAAGCATTACAGAATGTGCCCTCCATGTGTCTCTCCTCGCTCCTCTCCATGCGCATGTCCTCACTCACACTCTCTCTGCCCCATTTACAGAATCTAGTTCGAAATCCTTACTTTGTGTTATGGGTGTCGATGGTGTGGAAGAGCTCATGTAATTCTTCTCCACTGAGAACACCATCTGCAAAGTAGGCTTTGAATTCTTCAAAGGACAACTTTCCATCATCTGAAATGGTAAGAACAGAAAAGAAGCACTTCATTTAAGCTGTATACTTGTTCTATCTTCTGACCTTTAAAACTCTGTCCAAATGCTTGCGCTATGTGTTGTGTGTGTGGTATACACCTCATTCAGTAAGAAGGAACAGTTCTGGGTCTCAGAAAGATAATTTAACATACCTACATACCACATAGACTTCAGGTATATACTTTGATGGACTAGAAGTCTGAGCTGTTGGGGTCTTTTGGGGTCATTTATTCATGTGACAGATATTTAACATCCAAAGAGCCACTTGATTGCCCATACTAAAGAGATATCTGCACGAACAATGTAGAGCCCAACAAAGAGTCAATTATTCTGTTGTTTTGCCTTCACAATTCCAAGCAAATGCAGGATCTAACAGATTGCAGGGTCAGTGTCAATGTCTACTAAGTGCATACTGACTGAATACTCACATGTGCATGTCAAGACTTGTTATAATTGTACGACTAATGCTGTTGATTCTTATACCATTTAAACAAATGAGTACTTTTAGAATTTTACAGGATTGCCTGCTTAAAAGGCAAAGAGAGGGAGGAAGGGAGGTACATTGGGGAATGGGGAAGTGGGGGAGCAGAAGAGAGGAGAGGTTGCAAGAGAAAGAAAGAGAGAGGGAGAGAGAGGTATCTTCCACCCATTGTTTATCAACACCCACAACAGCCTATGCTGGGCATATCATGGCCAGGAGCTATCTCAAGTACATCATCCATGAGCTGAATTGGAAGGAGAGGAGCTGGGCCTCGGATCTGGAATGCAGATGTTCCAAGCAATGACTTAACTTGCCCCACCAATGACAAAAATACCTTTTATTTATTGTGGCTGCAAAAGGCAAAGAATCTGAAGATCCTCTGAGTAGCAGGGAGAAGAGTGTATATATGGGTATCTTACACAGAACTCAGTAAGGATAAAAAACACAAAGAGACTTTAAAGGTATGGCAGTTTGAGTTTAAAAGAAGAAGAAGAACATTTGGCAACCGTGTGATTCCTCCTTGCATGAACACCTGAAAGATCCTACTGTAAAGGACACATCAACCTGGTCACTGAATCACTTAGATTTTCCATTAAGGACCTAAAGTTATAATGTTTTCAAAAATCCTTATTTGTGAAATATAAATGCATACACACTGAAGAGTTTTGAAACGATATATTTCATTGGCTTTTTGACTGACTAGGTACCATAAGGTATTCATTCTTTCAGTGAATTCTTGCCAGTAATTAACTAGGCAAGCCTAGGGTTCAGGAAGGCCAAAGCTTCATACACAGATCAAAGCACAGACTGCACAAACAAGAGCTCAGCTATTCACAAGTGTGCACGGCCGGGTCTCCCAAGGGTTAACTCCACAGCTTAGCTTGTTTCTCAAGGTGTAACAGGAAGGGCAATCTCGGCCCCTGGTTTGATTTCAAGTTCCCTCTTCCCTGCTTCCCCTTTTTTAAGATGCCCTTGGGGGAGCTTAGGAGTTGCTTGAGCATTGGGAAAGTACTGGGAGGAGCTAAGCAGATTATAAAAATGCAAACCAACTTTGAATAAACTGCATTCTCTTTACAAGAATGGCCCACTGTGTGTTGTCTTTTTTGTAACCCTAGTCCCTAGGCGGGTATGCAGCAACGCAGTTGTTGCCAACACAAGTGCAATCTACAAGGCTCATCAGTTGTCTGAAGTGCTGCTTCTCTTTTAAGATGAGTTGCTTCACACTCATGCCTCCTAAGACTGTTTTAAACTTCAGTTCCATATAACCTGCTATATATCCTGGATTAGGCTCTGTGTAGTGTTTCTATCTATATCTTCTTACATTGATGAAAATATGCATTTCCAGAAAAATATGCCAAATATACTAGGTCTAGATATAGGCTAAAGAGAGAGAGTAGAAGACTTTTTCACTCACTATCTTCAAATAAAAGAATGAAAGAAAAGGAATATACAGAAGCCAGCCCACTATTTTCAGCGTCACCACTGTGTAAACAAAGTAATGTACACATACTGACGATGGACTGTGTTTTCCCTGGTGAACCAGTACTAATTCCTGTGTGGGCTGACTCGGGCTGTTACAGAATCCTGTGCATGGGGTGGGCTTCTCTAACACTGCACCAAACCTATGATAAGTAAGTGTTTTCAAGGAATAATGTGCACAGTATTAAATAAATACACTGACTTTAAAAATGCTCAAATCATTCTACAAGAAAGCATCAAAAGGTAAACCTTATTGGGAAAAATGTAAAGGGAAGACGGAGGTACTGGATTAAAGTCCTGGCTTGAAGCATGGAAGTCTGCTTTGAAAGCCCGTTTTACCACACACACAATGCCTGCAAGCTTTAGGCCACTTCACTTTTAAACAGTACATAGAGTAACTTTCAAATAATTTTTCGAATTTTTTTTTCAAGGAAAGGGAGGAAAAGATCCCCTTGAAGTATGATTCTGCATGAATAAATAACTGTATTTTTGTTATTCTATTTTGACTTCAATGTTCCTATTTTTTTTTTAATTGAATGACACTGACTTCTGTTGATCTGGCTCACAGAAAAGCTAAATAGAATGGGGTCAAATTTCCTGTTGTAGGGGTCAGTTGTAGAATAAAACTGCCACCTGCGGCAACAGTACCCTATAAGGACATCAGTTTAAGAGTTCAAGCCCTGAGTATTCACTAATGGTCCAGCACCTTGCTCATGCATCTGGGAAAGCAGCAGAAAATGGCCCAAGTGCTTGAGCTTCTGTGCCTACAAGGGAAATTTCAAAGAAGCTCCTGGCTCATGGACATGGCCTGGCCCAACCCTGGCCATCATGGCCATTTAGGGAGTTGACCAGTAGACTAAAGCTCTCTCTCTCTCTCTCTTTCCTCACCCCCCCTCTTTCCCCCCCCCCCTTTTTTTCTCACGTTCTTTGCCTCTTCAGCTCCCTCTTTGTAACTCTTTCAAATAAATATTTATTTTTAAAAATCCCCCAATATCTCTGTTATTTTTTTCTCTGAGAATCAAATACTTTTTCTGATTTTCTCTTAAATATACTTAGCTCCCCTCTAACTTACTCTCTTTTACCTTATAAATTCCATTAATGTTTTTGACATGGAAACAGTAGGATGCCGTTGTGTAGTGTACTTAGAATGAGATATCTTGAGTCTTAAAATATGGATTTACTATAAAAATGAAAATAGACATGAGACAGCTGAATAGTACCCTATAACCAATTTAAGGGTTATAGCAGTTGGTTGTGTATATACTAAAATTGAGATGTCAAGGAAGTAGTTACAGGATGTGATTAAGAACTTGCATTTTCTAACATATTGGTTGCCAAATACCATGGTAATTAACTTCATGATGTAGCTAATTTCCATGTTTCTTTCTGTTGTTGAAGTTGTATAGTGGCATCTCATGGAGGGGATAATATCCTGCCAGCTCTACTTTCAGACCAAGAATGATCTCTCAACGAAACTGTTGAATTTATCTGGACAATAAGATGCTGAATTCTTTCCATGGTCCATGCCCACAATGAAGGAATCATGACTGGTAATGAACTGTAACAATATGGAGGAATTCAGTATCGGGGGGAGGGTTGGGGAAGGGCTGGGGGAATCCCAGAGCCTATGAAACTTTGTCATAAAATGAAATACAAAATAAAATAAAATAATAAAATAAGGATTTACATTTGTTGGCCAAACACTTTCATCCATTTATTCCTTAAATACTTATCAATATCTGAATGTCTGTCAAACACTGCAGTTCACACTAAGGATATTGGTAGACAAGTTCTTAAGGATCTGGCCATCATAAAAGACAGCAAATTAACAATCAAGTACTTGCAGAACGGAAAGGGCAACTTTAGGGACCCAGGTCGGAGTGGTGTGACATAGACAAGACTTCCCAGAAAGTGGCACTTGTGGTAGGACACAGTGGAAAACTGGGATTATTGAAGGAAGATCTTTATAAAGAAATATTATTTCATGTGGAGGGAATACTAAGTTATGGGTAAGAAATTACGCAAATTAGACATCGAAAGAAAAATCAGAATACTAAAAGAGTGTATATTTGGAAGGAAGGAGAAGTCAGAGTGTTAAACACAAAAAGGCAATGCCATCAGAAGCTCTGAACATGGAAAATCACAGTATGGAGTTTTGAACCAGATCAGCAGCTCTCCCAAAAACACTTAGGAGCCATTGTCGTACTTCAGAGAGCTGACTGCAGTTGTAGCAGGTAGAATCAACCACTATAAAATTACAGGCAAAATCAAATGTGAGGGCCCGGCGCAGTGGTGCAGTGGTTAAGGTCCTTGCCTTGCACGCCCGGGATCCCATATGGGCGCCAGTTCTAATCCCGGCGGCCCCTCTTCCCATCCAGCTCCCTGCCTGTGGCCCGGGAAAGCAGTCGAGGATGGCCCAAGGCTTGGGACCCTGCACCCGTGTGGGAGACCCAGAAGAGGCTCCTGGCTTCGGATCGGCATAGCATCGGCCGTTGTGCTCACTTGGGGAGTGAATCATCGGACAGAAGATCTTCCTCTCTGTCTCTTCTCTATGTATATCCGCCTTTCCAATAAAAACAAAATAAATCTTTAAAAAAAAAATCAAATGTGACAGAAAGAGAAGTGAAAGATGTATAATCTGTTTTGGAATGAGCAATGAGCTGGTGATGGTGAGAGTGAACACAAAGTCAACCATGAATCTTACTGGTTGAAGCACCAGTTATTGTCACTCATTGAGAGCCAGGACACTGCGGAGAAAGCATGTGCAAATTACACGTGTTTATGGAATAGAGACACCCAGTAGGCAGTAAGACATATTGTTATGGAAAAGCTCAAGGAGATTTGGGGATTGGAACAATGCTTAAGCGTTACTAAGACTCAGTAGTTGAGTTAGAGTCCTACTGGGTAGAATACATATAGTGAAAATCCAAAAAACTCAGAACAGACTTTGGAAACTTCAAATTTCTATAATTATGGGTACAGCCTCAGCATAGTATCACACGAGGTGGAGACTGGTGAGAGC